GTGGATTCCCTGAGGTCAGGAGTTCAGCCGGCCTGGCATTAATGGTGAAAACCCATTCTTTAACTAAATTACCAAATTAGAACCAGGTGTGGCCAGTGGGCCCAGTAATCTGGCTACTCAGAGGGCTAAGCAGGGAATCGCTCTGCTTGACCTAGGAGGGGAGGTTAAAGTGAGCATGAGATTGCACACTCACTCAGCCTGGTTAAGCAAGGAGCAAAAACTCGTCTCAAAGAAAACCCAAACCAAAATAAAAAGAATGGGGCAGCAAAGTCAGATGCCTCACTGCCACCATATTTCATTTAATTATAATTACCATAAAGCCACATGCAAACGGCCAAGCACCTTACTGGATATTCCATTTTCAAAAATTCTTTTTTGGTAATCTTTTAAATGGGACTGATAAAACATAACGTTTGAACGTCCTTAAAAAATTACCATTCTGTTCCTTCCTTAAGGTTATGATCCAGGTGAGACGAACGCGACTATTCAACTTTCTCATATCGTTATCTTTTTAGAGACTTATTTATAATTTCCGCTTATCTATAGTCCTTATGTTGCTGTACTGTCCCAGTCAGCATCTTAGGTATCCACTTGCTTAATATCATTCTTTTTTTTTTTTTTTTTTTTGGGTTGCTTTCACTCTTGTTGCCCAGGTTGGAATGCAGTGGTGCGATCTCGGCTCACTGCAAACTCTCCTTCCTGGGTTCAAGTGATTCTCCTGCCTCAGCCTCCTGAGTAGCTGGTATTACAGGTGTGTGCCACCATGCCCAGCTAATTTTTGTATTTTTAGCAGAGATGGGGGTCTTTCCATGTTGGCCAGGCTGGTCTTGAACTCTTGACCTCAGGTGATCTGCCCGCCTTGGCCTCCCAATGCTAGGATTATAGGCGTGAGCCACCCTTATATCATTCTTAAACAGACGTGATCTTACATGCCATCCTCCAAGATGTCCTCCAGTTCCCAATAATTATTTTTCCCTCTGTAGTCTACATGTCTTGTTCCTTTATGTTTGACTCACTATAACTGACAGAAAAGTGAATTAGTTAAAAGGTGAGACTGCCCAAATAGTTTATAAATAAATATATAACAAGATTTGATTCATTTCTATGTGCCCCTCTTGTTTAACATATAAATACATACTCACAGCTTACATAAATGAGCCACAAACTAGCAAGTGTATCAACAGAGACTCACCCGATTCTTAAAGTAGAGCACGGTATCTTTCTCTCATGTGAAAGTTCAGAGTCATCATTCAAAAACATATGGCAAGATCCTCAGGAACCTCCTAAAAGAGAAAACATATCCAACAGCTGTATTGTTTAATGTATCTCCTAATCCTTTGATAATCAGTAACCTCTATGGAGTTAAAAAAGCAAATAACCAGTCAATAAAAATGTTAAATTAACCAGAGCATCTGAAAATACAGCTGTTCCGAGCCATGGGTGAAAGGAAAAGGAATAGAAGATACATTATAATCACACTGACAAGTAGCTTCATTTTTGATCTTGCCCATCAAGTGTTGGTGCTATAATGCCTTCCTCAGATAGGCAAAAAATCCACTTTCTAAAATAGAAAATATTCACTCTGGTTCTTTAAATAGTAAAGAGTAGCTGCCATCTAGTGACTTGTTGCTTAGTAATACTGCTGTATACCTTCTCTCCTCTCTGAGCCAGGGAACCCTTCCCATTCTCTATTGGAATTGAAACCTTTTCTTTTTTCTGGAAAACCATTTCTCTAGCCTTCTGTTTTTAAAAGCTGTTACCAGATCAAGGGGAGTGATTACTGAATTCTGAGTCTTCAAGCCCAGGCCAATGAAAGGGCAAAGTGAGAGCTCAGAGATACACAGAGGCTTCCATGTATAAACAAGAAACCATCCGGTGGCACAGAGGAGGTGAGAGAACCTTTTTTTTTTTTTTTTCAAAGCAAGCAGTGATTCCTGGAAGCCTTCAAGATCTGGTACAAAAGGGAATAAAAACCAACCAAAAATATTCAGGAAGAAAATAGTGCGGTATCAGCCTTTTTTTTGTTTCGTTTTAAGTTCTTTCTTTCCTTTCTTTTTAGTTGAAGTAAAATTACTACACATAAATGCTAAAAGTTAGGGGAAAATCCTGTGAGGGATAATTGACCAAAGTTCTTTCTTGATAACCTTAAAAGCTTACAAATTGGTAGTACTAAAGGCTTTAAAACGAAAGCCAGGAACAAGCTAAATACTTCCACTGTGTGACTGTAGAAACACTCAACAGGTGACGGGAAATCAATGACTCCGTGCAGGAATACCTCGGTGATATTGCAGGTTTGGTTCTAGAACTCTGCAATAAAGTGAATATTGCAATAAAGCAAATCAGACAATTTTTTTTTGTTTTCCCAGTGCCTATAAATTTATGTTTACAGTGTATGGTAGTCTATGAAGTGTGCAATAGCACTATATCTAAAAACATACATACCTTGATGTAAAAATACCTTATTGCTAAAAAATGCCAAAACAGAGACACGAAGTGAGCACATGCGATTGGAAAAATGGTGCCGACAGACTTGCTCATCATAGGGGTTGCCACAAACCCTCAATTTGTAAAAAATGCAGTATCTGCGAAGTGCAATCAAGTGCAGTAAAACAAGGTATGCCTGTACTCACAGAGAAGAATATTCTAATTAAGTGCAAGCCAGCATGAGGATATGAAAACCCTAGAGCATAAAATACCGCACAGGTTTTAGCGTGTCACAACTTGCCCATTCCAATGTCCTCCTTTGTCTAATATTCAGAAGAAAGGCGATTTTTTCCACTCTTGTATTCTTGGGTGGTGAAGGTGGCAGTGTGGTGCAACGGAGAGGGATGTGAGGCAGGGTCTTGCCTCCAGTCTGCTGAATGAACTGGGATAAGACACTTATATTTTCTAGCTCCAGGTTTTCTCATCAGTCAGACTAATTGATCAAAAAAATTTTCGGCCAGGCGCAGTGGCTCACGCCTGTAATCCCAGCACTTTGGGAGGCCAAGACGGGAGGATCACGAGGTCAGGAGATCGAGACCATCCTGGCTAACACAGTGAAATCCCGTCTCTACTAAAAATGCAAAAAAAAAGAAAAAAAAAAAAAAAAGGCAGGCATGGTGGCGGGCGCCCGTAGTCCCAGCTACTCAGCAGGTTGAGGCGGGAGAATGGCTTGAACCCGGGAGGTGGAGCTTGTAGTGAGCCGAGATGGCACCACTGCACTCTAGCCTGGGCGACAGAGTGAGACTTATCTCAAAAAAAAAAAAAAAATTTTTTTTCTTTTGGTTTAAATTTCTTATTCTGTGGTTGGTCTTAGCAGCTATGAATTCTGAGAAAGCCACAACCTTTCTTATCCTCTGCCTCTACCAGTGCAAAAAAGATGAGGGTATAAACCAAAAATAAAATCCTGTGTCCCCCAGCTGCCTGAACAGACCCCTTCCTGGCCAAGGGAACCCCACAGAAACCTGAAAAATGTAATTCCTAGCCATGATGGGAAGGGAGGGCAGATATACCTTGTCATACCCCCTCCTTTTTGAAATTTAGGCATGACTGACCAGCATTAAAGTTAAAATAAAGATCCTAATGTCACCGGAAAGGGCTCCCAATCCTGTCCCCAACAGATGGTTCTTGCATCTCGCACAAAAAAGAATTTAAGGTGAATTCATACAGTAAAGTGAAAGCAAGTTTATTAGGAAAGTAAAGGAATAAAAGAATGGCTACTACATAGAGCAGCCCTGAGGGCTGCTGGTTGCCCATTTTTGTGGTTATTTCTTGATTATATGTTAAACAAGGGGTGGATTATTCATGCCTCCTCTTTTAGACCATATAGGGTAATTTCCTGATGTGGCCATGGCATTTGTAAACTGTGACGGCGCTGATGGGAGTGTAGCAGTAGGGACGACTAGAGGTCACTCTCATCACTGTCTTGGTTTTGGTGGGTTTTGGCTAGCTTCTTTCCTGCAACCTGTTTTATTAGCAGGGTCTTTATGACCTGTATCTTGTGCTGACCTCCTGTCTCATCCTGTGACTTAGAATGCCTTAACCATCTGGGAATGTAGCTCAGTAGGTCTCAGCCTCATTTTACCCAGCTCCTATTCAAGATGGAGTTGCTCTGGTTTAAACACCTCTGACAATAACACTCACAAAACAGAATCTGTGTGGCAATTAGATACCAAATTAAAAACAAGGCCCAAGGCCATGCAAAGCCAAAGTCAACTCACACCCTACTAACCATAAAATCTTGTTAAATGGCTTGTTATTATCCTGATATAATATGGCTTACTTGCCAACCTGACTCTGATATAACATCACATGACAGATAGCAAACTCTGAAGGAAATCAAAATATTTCACCCCAAAATGTATTTCTTTGACATATTTTGAAATGACCCTGCAAAGTTGTCTTTTATGGGGGAAATTTGCATCTATAGAGAACTGCCATTAATGCAGCCAGGCCTTCCCTTTCTGGGTCTTTCCATGATCTAGGATCTAGGAGAGATTAGCTTAGAACCTGACACGTTTAAAGGCTTGAAAAGAGACATTTACAGTCTATTCTCTCTGACCACTACCACCTAAGAGGCTTCCTCTATATAACAAGGGCCTTGCCCCCAACAACCACCTTATCTTAACCCAATTATTCCTTTCTACTAACTTCAAGTCTTTAGACAATAGCCTAACTTTCCCAACAGGTGGTCAACTCAAGAATCCCTAAAACCCACCTTTAAGATACAATGAATCAGTTTCTCTTCAAAGGTTTAGCCTGTTAACTTCCTAGTCCTTTGTTCTCCAACTCAACTTTCTTATTCTACATGCTTCCTTGCCCCTAGTTACTGGAAACAGCCTACCTGCTTCCCATCAGCATTAATCAATAACTCACATGTGCTCCCTTGATTACCTGCACCCACTGTTCCCCCGAAACTTCACATTTCACACACTTCACCACTATACCTCACATCCCCCTTCCCTTCCATATTTAGAAAAATATTTGCAAGTAGTCAATCGGGTCAGCTCAAATTGTGTGGTCTGTCCCCAGTCCATGGGGGAATGACACAGAGGTAAGGACTATACATCAGAGATAAAAATCCCCTGCTCTCCTTTGTTCAGTGTGCTCTTGTGATCTTGATTGACATGAGCGGCACCCTTCTGCGGAAGTAAACTACCTTGCTGAGAAAACGTTTGCCTGAGTGCTGGTTTCACTTTGCGGCACCAAGCATTTATCCCTAGAACATTTTCATATCTAACATACCTATGCCTTTTAAGCCCCCCAGTTTGAGATGTCCTGCCATTACAGGCTGAACCAATGTATCCCTTCTATGTACTGGTTTATGTCATTGCCTGCAACTCCTGTCTCCCAAAATGTATAGAACCAAACTGTAACCCCACCACTTCGAGACCACTTACTGGAGAATTCCTGGGTTAGTGTTTTCCCTGGACTGCAGTCATGCATTTAGAATAAACCTCTTTAAAATATTTTTATAGAGTTTGATTTTTCCACTAACGAGGGGAACTGGACATCATGATTCTAAATTCTTTCCAGTTCTAGATTTCAGTGATTTCTTGTCCCTTCGCTACGGAGATAATAGAACGAAAAGGATTCATATTTGAATGAACAAGTCCACAAAAATCAGAAGGAGGCTGTGGGAAAAAGAAGGATAACATGTGCTACCTGAGATCATCAACACTGGAAAACTAAGCATGCAGTGCATTCAGAAGGGAATTCTTCACCAGCAAAACGAATCAAGGCACAATATCACCCCTTTCTCTAAATCCTTTTGTCAGGCGTTATTTACAAAAGAGAGAAAGGCAAATAGAACAATGATAACTTTCACCCAGTGTGAACAAGTGTAGAGACATCTGGGTAATGAAAAGCTGATACTTCCAATGTCATTTCACAGATAACTGTTTGATACCCAGCTCTCCAGTGCAGATTTCCTAGATATATACCTGCAACCAACTAAGCATAACACTAGATGTCAGTAGATATAGTTGAAAAAAACGAAGCCTCATCCAGCAGTTTGAAAATCAGAGGAAATAATTTCCATTTACAGAACAGCTTATTCCAACAAACTTGTTGAACCAATTATTCTGTTTCCCAGCAGCCATCCATCTTTTTTAACCCAAGTGTTATATGACCTTGGAAATCATGGTTTTTACAGATGTTTGAATTATGCCTTATGAAGTCATGTTGATGGTTTCCAGATGATAATACGTTTAGAAAGTATTTTAGTGCTGGGTTGATGGGTCCTGAAGATGTCACATTTTCTTGTGAAAGTTGTCTTGCTTATCTTTCTCCTTTGAATATTTGTATTTATCCATTTACACATACACAGGTATTTGTGTAAACATCTAAGTAAACATATGTAAACAACGCAATGGTTCTGGCTGCTTGATATAGTGGGGAGAGCACTGGACTAAGAGTATTCAACGTTATTCACATCATGTTACTCCTTCATTTGGGTTCTTGGTTTTTAGAAACGTTAAATTAGGGAGTGAGATTATCGGACCCTTAACTAAAGTCTCTTTTAACTCTAATTTCCTAATTTTGTATTTCTTCCAAGAACAATTTTAAACCATCTTAGACAAAGCAGACAATACTCCAGTGCTACAGACATCAGAAATATTTCATCTTAGTTATCTAATTATCTTTTCTTCTGATAACCTCTTGGAGAGGGAGAGAAGTTAAAACTAAATTGCCAGGCGAGAGGATCAGATCCTTATTAGCGGTTCTAATTTCGTTATCAGAAAGGTATCAGAAAGGGGTCCCAATCCAGACCCCCAAAGAGGGTTCTTAGATCTTGTGCAAGAAAGAATTCGGGCGAGTCCACGGAGTAAACTGAAAGCAAGTTTATTAAGAAAGTCAAGGAATAGAAGAACGGCTACTCCATAGGCAGGGCAGCAGCTTAGGCTGCTGGACTAAGGACACTTATAGTTACTTATCGATTATATGCTAAACAGGGGGTGGATTATTCATGAGTTTTCTGGGAAAGGGATGGGCAATTCCCAGAACTGAGGGTTCCTCCTTTTTTTTTGAGGTGGAGACTCGCTCTGTTGCTGAGGCTGGAGTGATCTTGGCTCACTGCAACCTCCGCCTCTTGGCATGCCATTCTCCTGCCTCAGCCTCCCAAGTAGCTGGGACTACAGGTGCCCGCCACCACGCCTGGCTAATTTTTTGTACTTTTAGTAGAAACGGGGTTTCACCGTGTTAGCCAAGATGGTCTCAATCTCCTGACCTCGAGATCCGCCCGCCTCGGCCTCCCAAAGTGCTGGGATTACAGGCGTGAGCCACCCTGCTGGCTGGTTCCTCCCCTTTTTAGACCATATAGGATAACTTCCTGGCTTTGCCATGGCATCTGTAAACTGTCCTCGTGCTGATGGGAGCGTCTTCTAGCATGCTAATGCATTATAATTAGTGTAAGATGAGCAGTGAGGACCACCAGAGGTCACTTTCTTTGCCATCTTGGTTTTGGTGGGTTTTGGCCAGCTTCTTTACCACAGCCTGTTTTATCAGCAAGGTCTTTATGGCCTGTATCTTGTACCGACCTCCTATCTCATCCTGTGACTTAGAATGCCTTAACCATCTGGGAATGCAGCCCAGCAGGTCTCAGCCTTATTTTATGCAGATCCTATTCAAGATGGAGTTGCTCTGGTTCAAACGCCTCTGATAATTTTCTGACTATGACCCTTGCTTACTTGTTACCAGAACTAAACTCAACAATTAGACAAAATACTCTCATGTAACACTAGGGGGAATATGCTTATGTGGTGTCTCTGGCCACACTGTAAGTGCCATTTACCCAGGAGTCATTTGGAGAACCAGATAACAATGAGAGACCACATGTAAAGGTTCTTCAATACTGTAACCAGCAGCTTAACAGCTAAGCCTCAAACTGCATTTTAAACTATTTTTTCTTCTTTGCTTTTTCCTCTTCCTCCTCCTCCTCTCAGTCTCAAGATAAAACTTTGAGAAAAACTGCGTGTATGTTACCGCTCATCTTAAAGTACAGCCTCAGAATGGGCTGTGAACTTCCACTCCCTTTCCTTTCCCATGCTATACTCCTGTGCCTTACGCACATTTATTCACCTATGTGCTTGTTAAGCACATACCATGTCCTCTCTGTCTCTTTTTTTTTTGAGATGGAGTCTCGCTCTGTCGCCCAGGCTGGAGTGCAGTGTCATGATCTCAGCTCACTGCAACCTCCACCACCTGGGTTCAAGCGATTCTTCTGCCTCAGTCTCCTGAGTAGCTGGGACTGCAGGCACGCAACACCACACCCGGATCATATTTTATATTTTTAGTAGAGACGTGGTTTCACCACGTCAACCATGCTGGTCTCGAACTCCTGACCTTAAGTGATCCACCTGCCTTGGCCTCCAAAAGTGCTGGGATTCCAGGCGTGAGCCACTGCGCCCACCCGCGCTCTCTTATCTGGTCATATGTTTCCTTACAAGCTCAGCAGTCAGATTCTGATAGGGATTAGACACCTCTGGAATTCTTTCTTCAACAAAAGATCACTTTGAGGATGGAACCCACACCTGACTGAAGAGTGACTAATTTATAACCTGGCAGGATCCCCACGATGGTGCCAGTACCTTCACCAATTGGGACAATAAGAGGACAGCAGAGCAAGTCACGCCACCTGGCACCTCCTGCCCCCCTTTCTTCGTCTGTATTCCAAACCCTTTCTTTAAAAACCCATATTCCCTCCAAGAATTGGAGAGTGGAACTTTTTTCTGCTCTTCCCCTGCTAGCATGAATAATAAAATCTTTCTCCCTGTTATTACAACTCATTACTATTTTTGATTTCTCTCTGCAAGCAGTGGGCAGCTGGACCTTTTTGCCAGTTACAATACAACCTCCACAAAAAAAGAGCAACAGTTTAAAGCAATATAGTCCTTTTTCTCATCAGGGGACAAACAAAACTCTTGAGAGTAACAAATGCTTTTTCTGGTAACAGTACCTAACGGTGGGTTGTTTGAATTTTTGGCAAGAAAAAAGAGAAGAGCACTGAGATAAACAGCACTTGAATTCTTTTGTTTAGCCATCAGGAAGTAATTACCTTTCAGTTTTCCAGATACCTGCTAGAAAAATTTATCATAATGTTTAAACTATCCACAGAAACAGACTCAAAGGGAACCTAGATCCTAGAAACGGATATGGATGGATAGGTCCAAAAGACATAAAGAAAGCCTCCATGCTCACTCGCCGCATGGACAGAATTTCCAGCCTTGGATTAACATCATTCTATCATCATCAGATTGCTCTCTTATTCAAAATGTAAATATACCACCCTAGATGGGTCACAGGGAAGCTGATATCTATTGGTCTCTTAGGGTGCATTTTTTTCTGACATCTCCCTTCCTTCCTTCCTTCCCTTCCTTCCCTTCCTTCCTTTGACGGGGTTTTGCTCTTGTTGTCCAGGCTGGAGTGCAATGGTGTGATTTTGGCTCACTGCAACCTCCGCCTCCTGGGTTCAAGCGATTCTCTTGCCTCTGCCTCCCGAGTAGCCGGCACTACAGGCGCATACCACCACACCTGGCTAACTTTTTGAATTTTTAGTAGAGACGGGATTTCTCCATGTTGATCAGGCTGGTCTCGAGCTCCGTACCTCAGGTGATCCGCCCGCCTTGGCCTCCCAAAGTGCTGGGATTACTGGCGTGAGCCACCGTGCCTGGCTTGGGGTGTCATTTTCTCTGTAGCATCTAGCAGACTGACAACCTTGAGAAATGGAAACTGAGAGACAAAGGACTGTACGGGAGAACTTGTGGGCTGTAGCCTCATAGACAGAAATCTCTTCTGCAATATTCCTAGTTATTTCAGACTCTCTGGTTTGCAGACCCTCCAAAATCCCCAACAACTTTACATAGTGATCAAGGTTGCCCGTGTACCTCTTAAGACATGTTTCAAAGAAGTAAGCGTGAGTCAATTACCGGTCTGAATGGCTAGGATGCCAGGCTGCTGTGTGCAGACATCAGGTCCCTGAAAGAGGAAGATGAGCGGAGAGGTGGATTTTACCCTGGGCTTATTTTCTCTGCACCTGCCAGGGTTCTTAGTTGCAACCACCTATATTAACTCTGCTTATTTAAACAGAGAAGCAATTTCTTATAAGGAGATCCAAAAATTTTATAATTGATAGGGAGGTTTGGCAACAAGGCAACTATACAGAGACAAGACTTACTAAAAATCATACCACAGAAAGAGCTTGTTTGGGTCACTGGACACTCAGAACCACTGCTGCTGGGCTGTGCCCCTCCCCACACTCGCTGCCACATTGTAGGACCCTAGATCCATCACACTCACCACAAGAAGACACCCCTATTATTTGTGTTACCCTTCAGGATTCAAAGTCCGTAATGTACCATCAGATTGGCTGAGTCTAGGTCTCATGTCCACCTTCCCAGCTGCCACATGATCGTCAAGACAGAACAGCTGCCCAGGCTTCAGCTTCCAGTGTAGAATGTTGGACCTGCTTCTGCATCTTGAAATTCATTCCAGATAGGAATGGCTGGATGCTGAGAAGTCCATAGCAACTGTCCAATGTTTTAGCTACAATGGAACCAAAAGACTGGAGATGAAAATACGCATAAAATAGATCTTTCTTTGGTTCTGTCTTATTTCATGACACCAGACACTAAACACAGTTCTGCATGATCTCTATCCACTATAAATGAAGAACGTGAATTTTTAAAAAATTCTCTAAAAACAAAGACCTTGAATTACTGGGGAAGAGTTGTTGGAATTTAATAGGATTTTACCTTTATCCTTGTCTCCTAAAGTTTAGGATCAATATTCTAAGAGCCTCATCCAAGGTTTCTTTATTCTTTTCACTTTGAAGAAACCAATTTTAACTAAGCCCACAGACTGTGAAGAGGAAAGGTGAGAAGCCAGAGGCAGCTTGTCATTCTGGGCTTAAATAAGGAAGAAACTTGAACCCAGTCACCTTGAATCTGAATGATGAACAAACTGACTAATTTTCTGGGTTGATTGAAACTCAAAGCTGAATACTCCCACTGTCTAACCTGGAATTTTGCCTTCATTTATGCATACAGGGAATTCTGACAGGAGTGAGTGACAGCCCTAATCCCTGTCTCTCTGTATTTCAGTGACCTTTTGGAGGGGGCAAACTCAAATATGCTTGAGTTTGCAACCCTGTACAGCTTGAAGAGAGCTAAGGGTGATGTGAGAATTAAGGAAATAAAAAGAAAAAAAACGATTTTACCTAAACAGACATGTTCTCTACCTATGGCAGAGTAATACATTTTGAAATATATCCCATTTTTTTCCCCTTTCGAGGTCCCTTAGAGATTCTCCACCCCCTCAATTCCCAGCAATCTTTAAACCATTGAAACTAGAGTAGGAGATTGAGGCTTTTACCCCTGGAAAATTGCAAAATAATTTTTTCTAAGAAGGGGGAAAATGTAATGATAAAATAGAATCACCTAAATATATTTGGCTGAGAGGAGGTTTTATAACAACAAAATTGGTGCTCCATTTCTCCAGAGTGTGTCATTATGACCCAACATGGTATTAGATGAGCCAGAGGTGGCTGATGGAGGCCCCCATTTGTGTGGACATTAAGGTGGCATCTTAAGGCTCAAGTGGAGTCAAACACTTGAGAGTTAAACTAACTGTGAGATGGAACTAGAAGTGCTGAAAAATGTAGTCAAGTGGGAGATATATCTGGGGCAAAATGTCAAGGCTGCAAGGTGCAGGAACCTCAGAACCGGGGGTAACAGCAAAGTACATGATCATCATCAGCAGATGCCAGCATTATGCCTAACACACCAGGAAGTACCACCCATATTTTAAGAGATTATAGCACAGGATTCCAAAGACCAGTGGACGCTGAAATAAAGAGGCCATGCTCAAAGATCACACGACGTTAGACATTAGAACAGAGGTCAACAGCAGTATATATACAGACCAAACAGCCTCCCTGATCACCTATGATGTTAAATGTAAGTTTCCCACTGCTTCCAAATGCCATCTTATGGAGAAAGAAGAAAAGGGAAAGAGAAGAATAGCCCAAATAAGGAGTTAATACTTCAAATGGATAGCTTGAGTCAATCTGTGGTGAAGCTGCCTAATATTGACACAAATGATACAAACTTTAAGGCAAGGATGAATACAATAACTTGAAGGAGAAAAATCAGTGCCACTGGAAATAATAGTTGCAGGAAAAAACTGAGTTCAGAACTAGGCAACTTTTTAGAAAGGTATTTCTCTGTGTCTCAGTTGAAGTGTATACGTTTTACCGACTACAGAGGAAGCACATTTTGGAATAGTTGGCAACCAGAAAACATATATGACTTTCTGTAATTTATATGGCTTTCTGTTAGTACCACTTGGAGGCACCAAGAACAATTTCTCCTTCCCCATCTGAATCCCTCAGAATTCTGGCCTCTGGTCTTCGCTTTGGGCCTTTCTCCCATAGAGACCTTACACATAAAACTAGCCACTTAAAGTGCACAACTTGTTTTGCTACAGATCAAGGGGCCATGGAATTAAAAACTAGAACTATAAGGCTCCAAGTCCCCTGAGGGATCAATGAGTTTATCTTTGCCATCCTACACAGAAGGCTGAGACTCAAAGAGGCAACACCGCTTGGCCCAGATCCCACAGATAGATATTGACAAAACTTGACATAAAACTCACCATCTCTAATAGCGGAAAAACTTGTAAATGGTTGTACCAAAGTGTGGTTGCTTCTACAGTAAAAATGTATACAAACACTCTGGGAGTAAGAAAAGAAACCGACTTTGTTATAAGAGTCATAGAAACAACATACAAACTGGATCTTAAGTGAGAAGACTTACAAGACTTGTAAAAGAGGAAATGGAGAAAAGGTAATTTTAGCAGAAGAAAGATGCACAAAGGTGTGTGATGGACATATGAGCATGACATATGGACGTATGAGGAGTGAGAGAAGTTGAGGTAGGAAAGGTATCTAATGACAGCTAATCTCATGTTTCCTTCTCCATTCCAGGCTCCTCCATAGACCTTTATTTCTTCCTATACTGTCCAGGAACATGGATCTCTTATGTCCCTTGTCCAATGTACATGTTTCCAGACTGGGTTCTCATCTACTCAGGCTGTCTGTGAATAGGGATATCTGTATCCCTTCTTGTAGCACACATTTCAGCTTTGTGAGAATACCAGATCCAGTGTAGAAGTTGCAGCATCCTAAAAGAGCCACAGAACCAAGAATGGCCACATTGAAATAGGTAGGAAGACCATTTCACTTTGCCCACATTTCTCCCTCCTTCAAGTTGGCACAACTCACCACTGAGATAGATCCACTTGGCCCACAATTTCTTCCAAGAAGAAAGGAGAGCAAGGAGTGCATCCAACATCCCCACCTTGTAGGGCACTGGCCCAAGACAACTGCTCCTGTCTTGACTTATTCAGAGGACTGAAGGATCCAGCATAGTTGGAATACCTATGCATATCTAATAACAGATTTGGGATAGGTAGCTTTCATCATTTGGCATGGCCTCCAACAGTCAGTGAGGGCTCCAGCTGCTACATGGCCTCCAGCAGCCCCCATACACCTAAGAGCAGCCTTCATGGCTCCAGCACACAACTCCCAGTCCTTGGTGGGTCTCCCTGCAACTGATGAGACTTTCAGAAGCCTGCAAGTCCAGACATTCATATAGCATTTGATATCCAGCATGGGTTGCAATTGCCAGCACTTATTGCACTAATGCAGTTGTTGGTGCTGATCACAGCTACCAGGGCAGATTGCAGCTGCCAGTGCAGTCCCTAGTGGCTGGCACAACCCCCAGCACCAAGCATGGCCCCTAGCAGTGGCAAGGATGTCAGTGGATGTCACAGTTCTTAGCAAAGGGTATTCATTTCTGTAGATGGCACAGATCCACAGACAACACGTATCTCAGCAACTAGCTTATTTCTGCAGGACTGGAAGAAGTCACACAATCCTGAGACTACTTCTGCAGGAGGGATAGAGAGAAGTGGAGCTTGCACCCAACATCCTGGCATCTCAATGCACTGCCCTAGGAAAAAGGAGAGGATGACTTTCAGTGCTTGGCATGGCTTAGTGCAATTGGGGAAATGCACACAATCCTGAATTTTCTTTTCAGGAGAGAGAAAGGGAAGTTGAGCTTGTACCTAATGCTCCAGCATATCGATGCACTGTACTAGAGAAAAGGATAAGGCAGCATTTAGCATCCAGCACAACTCTGCAGGAACGGAAGAAGAATCACAATCCTGAGACATCTCCCCAAGGCAAAAGAGATAGTAGGAGGATGTGCACATTTATAAAATAGTTTCGAGAGATTCACAAAATCTCTAGCCAGGCTGATTGTTAAAGGTTTTCAGCTGCTAAATCCAATCTGTAAAGACTAGAAAAAGTGGCTGCTTATTTAAATGCACAGACACCATTGCAAAGCTACAAGGAACATGAAGATTCAGAAAAATATGACACAAGCAAAGGAACAAAATCAATCGTCTGTAACCAATCTTAAAGACATAAAGATCTATAAATAGCATGACAAACAATTTAAAATAATCATCTTAAGAAGTTCGATGAGTTACAAAAGGACAAGATAAACAACTAAACAAAATCAGAGAAAAATGATACATGAACAATATGAGAAAATGAACAAAGAGATAAAAAGTGTAAATAATAACCAAACAGAAACTCTGGAGTTGAAGAATATAACTAAACTGAAAGTTCAATAAAGAGCTTCAACAGCATCATCAAGCCTAAGAAAAAAATCAATGAACTTGAAGATGGGTCATTTGAAATGATTTAATCAGAAGAAAAAAAATAAAAAAACAGTGATGAAAGACTAAGTGACTTATGAAACACTGTCAAGCAAACCAGTATACATACTATGGGAGCCTAAGAAGGAGAAAAAAAGAGAGACAGGCAGCCAGGTGCAGTGGCTCACACCTGCAATCCCAGCACTTTGGGAGACTGAGGTGGGTGGATCACGAGGTCAAGAGATTGAGACCATCCTGGCCAACATGGTGAAACCCCATCTCTACTAAAAATACTAAAATCAGCTGGGTGTAGTGGCATGTGCCTGTAGTCCCAGCTACTTGGGAGGCTGAGGCAGGAGAATCACTTGAACCCAGGAGGCAGAGGTTGCAGTGAGCCAAGATTGCACCACTGTACTCCAGCCTGGCGACTGAGACTCCATCCCCCCGCCCCCCCCCCCAAAAAAAAAGGAGAGAGAGAGAGAGGCACAAAGCTTTTTTTAGAAAATAATAACAAGAAAATCCCAAAATTTGGGATGGAAATAGATATCCAAACTCATGAAACTCAAAAGACACCAAATAGAACCCAAACAGACACCAAATAGAACCCAAAGAAGCCTGCCTCAAGGCATGTTATAATTGAATTATCACAAAAATACAGTTAGATAGAAGAAATATGTTTTGGAGTTTGATAGCACAGTAGGGTGACTATAGTTAAGAATTTATTGTATATTTCAAAACAGCTAGGAGAGAAGATTTGGAATGTTTCAAACAAAAAGAAATGATAAATATTTGAAGTGATGGATGTCCTGATTACCCT